ACTTCAATATCACAGGTATAATGTTGACAAAAAGAAAGAAGAAAAAAACTGAGGTTTAACCATTCACTTACTAGTTGGTGTCGAACCACTTGGCCATTTCCATAGCAGGAACAGAGGCGTTTCCTCTGGCCATGGAGAAGTAAGTGTCGAACCCAATCTCACCACCATTCCAGTTGTACCTTACGGGGACAGCACCAAGCATTGCAGTTGTGTCGAGTACCTGATCATAGTAAGAGAATGTGTTGCTAGGAATGTACTTGATACCAGCATTCGCCATCTGCTGCTACCTTTTGCAACTCGTCAGCACTGCTCTTTCCATTCCAGAAAGATTCCAAAGCAAACTTCAACTCTCTCTTTGGGCCCATGCTGGGATATCCAACAATATGAGATGCCATCTCTGGTTCATCAAAATTCAATCGATCAAATAATATTAGAACCATGAAACAATAAAAATTGATTGTTAAACATGCGAACATATTAAATTTTACATCTTCAAAAAAATCACAAGCAAGTGGACCGTGAAAAACTTTGTATGCTAGAGACCCTTAACTCAAAACAAAAAGCAAGATAACATTCATGAATCCATTTAATTCAAATTTGAATCACTGATCATGGAGAATTAAATACACCCAATAGCCACTTCATATGAGATCTATTCAGATGAAAAATCGTAAACACAGATCTACAAGTTCCCTCAGCACGTGCGTTGGATCTACCATTTAAAGTTTATCCACAGAACGTATGCACCAAAATTACATGCACCCACCTCCCCCAAACTATACTTACACAACAAACCATGAAGTACAGTGCATACTCATACATTACTGCACTGAAATGGACATGGAACAACAGAAAAGCACTAGATCACGTCATATTGTCAAGTAGAAATTCTTGCTGCACCTCCCCGCATTCCCACCCCCGTAAAAAGGAATAGGGTCCTTTAGTATTCCTGATGCTATGTTGGTGAATTCTAGATTTCCAACAAGTACAAAGAATTTTTTTTGGTCTCAACTTCATATAATTGTTCCAAAAATTTTTAGTAAGATACCATTGCATAGAGGTTCAATTTTGCAATTACAAAAATGTCAATATAATCAAATTCATTCAGCTGCATTTCATCTTATAGATTCGGATTCAAGGCAGCTAGCAACCAAGTTAGTAAATTACCTCATTCCATTATGACTTTAGCCCGACTCCCTTCATCTTCTCAATAATCTTCTCAGCTTCCTCTTTGGGAACCCCCTTCTTCAACAACGTGGGCGCCTTTTCCACGAGCTCCTTGGCTTCCTTCAACCCCAAATCCGTGCACTCCAGCACTTCCTTAATTATCTTGATCTTGGCCGCGGCATCAAATCCCCCATCGAGTTTCAAATCAAACGATGTCTTCTCTTTCTTCTCCTTCTCTTTCGGACCAGGCCCATCGGCCTTCCCCTTTGGCGCTACCATTCCTGGGCCAAACCCCATCCCAGGTATCATCATCGCCATCATGGGCATTTCTTCAATTCCCATTTTCTTCCTCAAAACTTCCGGCAAATCTGAAATTTCCAGCAATGTCAGCCCGGAAATCTCATCTACTATAGCTGATATTTTCTGCGAGCTACCCGCCTTCGGTTCCTGCGCCGAAGCCGCAAATTTTCGAATGAAATTAGAGAAACTTGATGGGTTTTCATAATGGGTTCTGGAGATTATACTCCGTTTGCAGAGGCGAGAGAGGGTTTGAGAAATAAGTCGAGAGCCCTG